TGGCTGCCCCTTTAAAAGTCTGCCTTGGGGTTTCAAAGCCCCCCCCCTTGCTGCCTCTATCTCATAAGTTCTTCCCCTCCCCCCCCTTGCTGCCTTTATCTCATAAGTCAAAAGATTAACTGATAAGCAAATGCTTATCGGATAGTCGACTAATCTTTAACATCCCTAGTATGTCCCCTTTTCTTTGATTGTTTGGGACATGTATTAGCAGGTACTAACTGTTGTACAGTACCTACCACAACTGTGCCCTAGGAGCTACCGTAATATATCCAAATAACCTTTGGCTGGACATTTTGTAATAGGAAGGTTAATCTTCCACTATTTTTGGATCTATGGTGTCCCTGTGGCCAGCTCTATCACCCTCCTGAGCAATGTAGTTCTATCACCCTAACTACTGACATAGATAGGGTTAGTTTGCAGGAGAGCTTCTCCTGTCAATATAGCTACTGCTTCTTAAGGAGGTGGATTAACTATGTGGATGGGAGAGCTTGTCCTATGGGCATAGATAGGGATGTAAAATTCTGTTTAGTTAACCAGTTAAATGATTAAATGGAGGTGGGCGGGCTGGAGCTGGCTCCCAGTCTGTATACTGGGGGGAAGGGGAGAGTGGCAGTGGAGGGGGGCTTGGGCTGCTGGCTCCCATCCTGTGTGAGCTCATAGCACGTGGCGGAAGTGGCAACAGGGCTGTTTCCAGCCCACCCCTGCATGAGGCTCTCAGTCCACGTGGGCTGGGAGCCAGCAGTGTCCCAGGTGAGGGGTTGCTCCCAGGTAACTGTTAACCATTATCCTGTTAGGGTGATGCTTACTGGGTAACTGGTTACCCATTCACATGTCTAGGCATTGGAGCATCTTCACTTAAGTGCCCAGACTTGCCCTGAGATTCCTGCCAGTTTCATGCATGACTAGTTTCCAATTTGGTTAGCTCATTAGACATAAGACAACAATCAATCAAAATACATTATGATCAAAGGGACCTATGATACAAGAGTCTTTGAGAAATAGAATTTTCTTCATTCACTCTCTATTCAGAAAAAAAATTTCTGTTCATTTGAAGGCGCCCAGTGGTCCGTTTGATTTAAAATACTGACAGTTGATCATTTGAACTTTTAGCTAAGGTGCAGTACTTGTAATGTAGACTAAGCAATGTTTCTCTCCATATTTCTGCCTTCGGTTGACTTTCTGTAATGTATATTTGAGGAAGTGGAATGGGCACGGTATGCCTGTGTTCTCCTTTTAAGGTGCCTGCAGTCTAAATAGCTCGGCAAAGTTCTATCTATGTTTTGTTATTTAATTATGACAAAACTATAGTTGAGTTGATAGCAAATATCCACTGGCATCTGTTACCTGTCAGTTTGTCACCACTGCTCAAATACTGGAAGCCTTAACACACATTTTTTGGAGGAGTGGGAATGTCTTTTGTAATCATTTTCTTTCTTCGCTCTTAAGCTACACATCATCATCACCTTCCCTGTAGATTAGCCTAAGTACAGTTTCCTTGAGATCATCTCAGTGCCTGCAACATGCCACAAAAGGCTGTAGTTTACGTTGCCAGTATTTCAAGCCCTATCAAAGCCCTCTCAGGTTAGAAAGTGAGGGGAAAAGAGATCATGTGTATTGAGCCATCTGCAAAATTATGGACCATCAGTGGTTTAGGTGCATTGTGATCAAGTTTGAAAAATGTTGATAGTTGCTAACTAGCTGGAGACCAAAAGATAAGATGAGAGGTGGTATCTTTAGTGAGGCTCAGGGACAGCAACCCCTTAATATAAAGTTTAATATTGTACCTGGAGTGGCAAATGTTTTGTATCCATCTCTTGTTTGCACTAAGTAGGTATCTGATAAACTTGAAGTTATTGCTCTTTTGCTCCCTCCCATTGAAGTTTTTGGAAAGGAGAAAATGTGTCCATGTGATTGTCTCCTCCTTTCCCACCTGGCTGTTCTTGGAAGGCTTGAAGGGATAGTGGCAGAGATCCCTTCCATGCATCACTTTCTGTCTGTGGTCCACTGCAAACAGCTTTCAGAGAGAGCCTTCCTGTGCTGCTTCTGTAAGGCTCCATGGGACTGCAGTGGCAATGTAAAGCTAGTATGATTCTTGTCATTTTCCCTGCTTCCCAGTGGGTGTTGGACAGGAGCTGTTTCTTGAGCAAATTTAGGAATAACAGCAAAGGGACAGGAATGATCTGCCTGTGGAGCTGTACCTTCACCTGTAAAACCCCCCTCCAATTTTGGGCAGGATTGTGGCTTTATCCATCACAGTTGAGGATTTGCATGCACCAGTCCAGATTTGTGTTTGCAAAGAAGGCTTGCATTTGTGTTAGGAATTTGAATGGTTAACTGGTAAGCCTCACTCTTAATAGGTGGAGGCTTACCAGTTTTGGTTAACCAGTGGGAGCTGGAGAAGGTCCCTGCCTGCTGCGGATGGGGGAGGGGAGGCACTGTAGCCCAGCTGGACTGAAGCAACCCTCAGTCACCCTTCCTATAAACAGTGAGCCAATTAGAGGGGATTTTACATCCCTAATTTGGGAGTATACCTGAGGAAAGAATGATATCCCATGGCTTTTTATATGTTGATGCTTTAGATTCCTCCCTCCCTTGCAGCTGCCAAGTAGGTTTTTAAACCATGATTTTATACTTCTTTTCAAGAGTCAGCATAACTGAGTGGGCCAACTTGATAGTTAATCTTTGTTTTTTTTCTTCCCATCTGACTTCCTTAGGCTAAGCCATGACTTCAGGCGCTGGGCATGTGGACTCCAAGGCTGAACTCACTGCTTTGCTGGAGCAATGGGAGAGAGAACATGGCAGTGGGCAAGACATGGTCCCTATCCTTACAAGGTATGCTCTATTAAATAAGCTCTGAGATGCAAACAACAGTGAGTAAAAGAACAGCTTTTGACATGTGGTGACTTATACTGGACGTCATTAAAGTAGCTGATGGGTTATTGGTAGCTTATATTCTTTTTGGCTTAAAAATTGAGCAATGGATAGACTTTATATAAACTGTCTCCAAAATATTTGAGTTTAACTCCCTTAATTTTCTCATCCTCTTGTGCAATTTGGTATTTAGATAAGGAAGAAAAGTTAGAACTACGGCTGAAACTTGTAAAACATAGTCCGAGGTGGAGAGTAACAAATTTATTCCGTCTTGCTGTAACTGGCCAGATTGTGTGAAGGCATACAAGAGATAAGTAATTGAGATGAATAGAGAGGTTTTTGTGAGCTTGGCTTGCCAATTCCAGCAGACAGTTTTGTAAATGAACAGTGGGGCGCTCTCTCCCATCTTACTCCCTGAATCTCTAGTAGAATCTTCTAATGATCAGGGACTAGTTGCACTTTCTGGATACGATGTTGCCTGTGTGTTGTATGTGTGAGGAGATGCTCTATCCCTTGTCTGTGGCTACCTTGATGAATGTTCTGTTTTGGTGGGAAGAGGTAGTAGCACTGATTCCATCAATCAGCTCAGAGTAGGCGAAGCAAGGTTTGAGGTGACTTACACAGTATCTTCACTAAGTCATGAAATCTAGGATGCAAGAGCAGAATTGTACTTGTTGAAGAGCTTCTGGACTGCAATACTGCCACACTCAGACCTTTAAAAACTATGGGTTAGGCCTCAGAATATCACAAGTTTGTTTTAAAAGTCGTGAGATGTTAAACAATACGTTTAGGGTAATCTAAGATCCTTGTGGGGTTTTAAGATGAACTGGGGATGTTAAATATCGGTTAATTGAATAGTCGATTAACCCAATGAATTCTTATTGGTTACTCAACTATTTTGTAGTCCCCAGGGGTGGGGCCGGCAACCAGTGCACTCCTGACCCCACTTCCAAGTAGCCCCTTGCCACTCTACACTGCTGCCAGGTGGCAGCTGGTCTGCGAGGTGAGCCAGTTTAAAAGCCAGTTTACAAACCAGCTCCCCGTGCAGACCGGCTGCCTGTCATGAGGCTAATGATACAGTAGCAGCACTGAGGGGTGGCCGCAGCCCCCGTCCGGGGTGGGAGCTGAGCTCCCAGACCCGGCACGAGCCAAAACTGAGCTGGACTACCTGACCACCTGGATCCTAATACACTTGAAATGTGGAGCTGCAATGGGGGTAGGTCCCAGACCCTGTGTGAACCAGGACTGAGCTGGGCTGCTGGCCAAGGTGCTAAAAAATTTACTGGTGGTGTGTGTGTGTAGAAATGCGAGTAGTCCAGCATTAACCAGTAAGCTTTTGCTAATTGGTTAATCGACTACACTATTATATCCCTAAAAAGAACACCAGATATTGCCAGATCTGCAAATATTCGAGATGACAACAATGGCAACAGTCTTAGCCCTTGAGGACTCTTGTCAACAAATCCCCAGACTAAGGATGTTAAATTTAGATTAATCAACTAATCGAATAGTCAATGTAACTTGCATCGACTATTTGATTAGTTGATGAGGGTGCCTCTGCCAGCTCTTGCTACATTTCAAAGGTTGAAGTGTCGCGGGGAGCATGGCCTGCAGGGGACACTCCCGCGCTCCCCGGCTGCTTGAGTCCCCCACTGGCCCCACACTCCTGGCAGCACTTGGCTTTAGAAATGTAGCAAGGCCCCTTCTCTTGCTACATTTCAAAGGCGGAAGCGCTGCCAGTTCCCTGCTGCTCTCCTGCCCCTTCTCCCTTTGGAGATGGTGTTGGGGGTACCGGCTTTTAATCCAGTTCCTCCCAGCACTGAATCCTGCCTTCCCCCTCCGCTGTGCTCTGCTGCGGCCTCTCTCTGATAGAGGCAGCAAGGTGGGGGGAGGGAAGCGACTAGTCATGTTGCTAGTTGACTGATAAGCATTTGCTTATCAAATAATTTGACTAGTCACTTACATCCCTACCTCAGACACCCAGTTGTCCTAATGCACTTAAATTCAGGGTGCTTCAGAGATGTACTTTGTGTCTGTGTCCTCTACATCATCTGTGTCCAAGAGTTTGTCTACACTTGTCACTGCTGCAGTGAGTGTCAATTTACAGGCCTCATGAAGACACACTAAATCAATGGGAGAGTGCTCTCCCATGGATTGTGTACTCCACTTCCTTGAGAAGCAGAAGGGAAATAATGGGAGATTATGTTCCGTCAACATAATGCAGTGAAGACACCATGGTAAGTAAGGTGAACTTCAGCTATGCTATTCATGTAGCTGAGGTTGAATAATTTAGATTGACTGATCTCCCTCTGTAGTGTAGACTAGGCCCAAGTAAGTTACCCTTAGAGTTCCCCTTCCCAACCTGCTTGTAGGACTCAACATGGTAGACTGCACAGAGGATAGAAGCTCCAACACTGTCTTCTAGCTACAGAATCTGATTGTGCAGAAGTTTGGAGTGAGAAGCTGTGAGGATCTCTGTGTTGTCAGCACATTTGCCACTGAATAGACTTACTATTGGAACTTACCACAGAAAGTACTTCTACTGTGCAAACATCTCTGACGGATCTCAGCTCCCTTACCACACTGATTCCCTGATGGACTTGACTAATTCAATAAGCATTCACTATTGCAAACAAGGTCCTCCAAGTTAGTCAGCGGACACTGAGCCTTTTGGAAGAGTGGTTCCCAAAGGCTTTGCTTTAGTGCTGTTTGGAGTCAGCAGCTTCAGCAGCGTGGTTTTGGAGAGCAGCTGGCTCTTGCTCCTTGCTCTTGTGAAGGTGATGCCAAAGCTCTGTACAGATCTGGCAGTGACATTTTTGGCTTCAGGCAGATACAGAAATCGTTTTAAGGCAGCTGGTGAAGAGAATACATTTAAATTCAGCTACTGCTAGGTCACATTGCTATGGAAAGCAATAATAGAGTCTCCGCTTTCAGGAGCTCAGCAGCATGGCTTGACTCAATTTTCTGCATTGAGGACAGGGCTTAGAAGTGCTGCAGACTGGCTTCTGCCTAGATTTAAGGGTGTCTCCTGGAGTGTCTCCAGTAGGAATATTAGATGCTCCTCACAGAGCTTGGTTGTGCTCAGTGATGTTTCAAGGCACATCTGACTCCTTTGCATGTTATAGAGGAACTTGTGGTTATGCTTATCAAGATGTGACATCTTTCTGCTTCCTTTTTCCTTCTGAGTTGAAATAGAGAAAATCTTCCAGGGCAAAACAGCACTTTCCCAAGCGTGGTGTTGAAGGCTATACTGAAGCATTATGAAAAACACCCTGAAAAACTAGTTGTTAGCTACAAGCAAACTCCCAAGGTGTTGAGGCTTCAGTATAACCTGTGATAACTACTATAAATGGGCAGTAAAATTAAATAACAGTAAATTAAAGTAGTGATTGGCAGAATCATGAAGAACCGTGTCTCAGAATAGAGTGTCAGAAGGTACAAACCCAATATAAGTGAAGAGGCTGATTAGAAGACAATGTCAATCAGCAAAGTGTTGCTAGAATACTTAAATATGAAGAGATGCAACAGCATCCATTCAAAATCTGGGGGTAGCTGACATGATCTGGTCCTGTATCTACTATGGGCCAGATCCTCAAACCCCTTATATAAGGGGATGCCTAGATGGTACCTAAAGCCACTGGCTCTATACCGCTCACGCTTTGCTATTTCCCCATGCACTCAGAATGGAGCATGTGTTGATGTTGGGGTGTAGCTGCTGTACACTCTGCTACAGTGATCCTGGGCTAGAGGAAAGGCTCCTGGCGGCTGCTGTTGCTAAGGGAAGATAAAGCAGCCCTGCCACTACTCTAAGGCTATGTCTGCACTTTTGCCTGTGTTGGCAAAACTCGTCACTCAGGTTTAAATATTCCCCTTTCCAAGTGACATAAGTTATACCACCATAAGCCTGAGCATACACAGCACTGTATCAGTGAGAGATCTTGTCCTGGCGACACAGCTTATGCTACTTGTGAGAAGTATGGGGTTTTTATCTGACCTGTCCTACACTAGCAAATTAAGTCTGTATGACTCTGTTGCTTGCGATGTGAGAATCCTTCCTGTTGGCATACATGAGTCTTCAGTGAAGGGCTACCACAGTAGGGATGGCAACATGTAGATGACTATATGAGAAACCTATAAACCTGGGCTTATCGGTTAATCTTGCTGACTATGTGCATTTCCCCTCTTGCTTTCTTTATATTGGAGGAGGCGGGAGCACCCCACCCCCGCACTGCTGCCTCTGATAGAGAGGCAGCAGTGTATAGAGCGAGGGGGGCAGGCAGGAGCAGATACGCACAGGGAGCTGGCTCTGTGGACCTGCCTGTCCCCCCCTGC